CGGCGGCATCGGCGCGGGCGGCCCCGCGCCGTTCGCGGGGGCCGCGGAGGAGGAGGAAAATGCTACGGCCAGGGACGCAATGTGGGCCTTTTTGTCAGAGTGCAGGGCCGAGTGCCTGCAGGATGACCTGGCCAGGGAGGGCCTGACAGCGCCTGATGACGTCGCTAATGTGCTGGACGAGGATGGCTGGGGCGAGTTCTGGTCGAAGCTGCAGGGGGGGCAGATCAAGAAGAAGGCCGCGTTCCGCAGGCTCAGGGGCCACCTGGGCCTGCCGCCGCTGCCAGCAAATTCCCCCAGCCTGCCGCCGGGCGGCACGGGCGGCGCGGGCGGCGAGGGCGGCGCGGGCGGCCCGGGCGCCAATGCGGCGCCGCGCTAAGGCCCCTCAGCCTCGGTTTTGCACCCACGTCTCAGGAAGCAGAGCCCGCTGCTTATTGGGTCTCTGTCGTGATGCTCCTCATGCGTTTTGTGTGTTGACTGTGCACGCGCGACATCAAGGGACGCTGGGCGGCGCCTGCTGCACCTTCAATAACTGCCAAATCCTTCAACGGGCCCCTCGCTTGTTGGCGCCTGTTCGATCCATGTAGTACCTGCTGCGCGAATTTTGCTTGTGTTTCTGCCCATACACCTGCCACAGCTTTGTCCTCTCTTGCGTGAGCGCTCGCTTCTTCTTGGCAGGCTAGGCTGCTCGCTTCGCTGTCGTGGCTCCTTCCAGCGTGATCCAGCAGGCGCCGCCCCAGCAGTGTGGCGTGCGCTTAGCTGCTCGTTTCGCTCTGGCTGTTTCACATCGTGGCCCAGACACAACCTTGGGACCTGCACCGTGGCGCCCCTGCTGCTGCTCGCTGCGTCCCAGCGTCGCGCCGCCGCTCGTCGCTGAGGCCACGACTCCACTGCCGTGTCCCCTGTGTGTCCCCCATCACTGCAAATGATCCCGCGTCCAGCGGCCTCCTTTCGTGCGCAACACCCCTAGTGTTATCACCGATGCGCTGCCTGCTGCGCCGCACGTCCCACCCATCGTGTGGGGCCATGTAACTGGACCACCCCGACTGCCTCACACCTGCTCATGACTGGTATGAGCTCTGGTGATAGGTGGGCGCTCAGGGGCTGCGAAACAATAATTGGTTACTCAGGGCGCAGACAATGGACGCCGAAAGACGGGGGAGGGGGGGCGGAACAGGGGCCAACGGCGGGGCCGCGCGCGCCCTGAAGGGGGCGCGCGGGCGCGAGGGGCCAACGGGGGAGGCAACCGGGGCTGGGAGCTTCGGGCTCTGCGTTTTCTCGGCCGTGCACGTGCAGCACGGGCGTGGTGCGTGTGGGTGCAGCTCTCAATCTGAAAGGTGCGGCGCGAACACTCTCAAAAGGCGCGCGGCGGTCGGCTGGCCGGCCGCGCAGCGCCCGCGCGGGCGGGGCGCGAGCCGGCAGAGCAGGCGCTGTCGCGACGAAAAAACTTGAATAGGAGAGACGGATGCCAAGGGACTTGAGATACGGTTTGCAGCCGGCTGGGAGGACTCGTGTGCACATGCCCCCAGGCGGGCCCGCCTGGCAGGCTGATGGCCGGGTGCTTTGCAACACCCCTGCCTGCCCAGCGCCAGCGCCAGGCGCCATGCAAAGGGGCCCCCTCCCAACGCAGTGTGCGTGCAATACAAGAGCAGCCCCCGGGCGTGCGCGCCGCCGCGCCGCCGCGCCGCCGCGCCGCCGCGCCGCCGTCGGTCGCGTAGACTAGTCCAGGGCCGTCATGTGGTAGATCGCCGAGTACAGCACGGACTGGCCGGTGGTGACCTCCAGCAGCAGTATCACGATGATGGCCACCATGGCCAGGCGGCCGTTCCAGGTCTCGGCGCTCTTGGTGAAGCCCCACTCCCAGGGGCCGACGGGGGCGGGCAGCGCGCGGCGCTCACGGTCGTATGCGCCCAGCAGCGCCTCCAGGTCTGCAGTGTGTGTGAGTGTGTGAGAGAGTGTATAAGTGTAAGAGAGTGAGAGAGTGTGTGTGTGTGCGCGCGCGCGTGTGTGTGGTTGTGTGTGTGTGTGTGTGTGTGTGTGTGTGTGTGTGCGCGCGCGCGTGTGTGTGCAGCGATGGTGGTTCAGAGGGTGGTGGTTCAGGGGGTGGGTGGGGTGGACGTGGGGTTGATGCGTGTCGGGGTAAAGCGTGCGCGCCACCCCCAACTGCAGGGGAGCAGGCAGCGGAATTGAGAGGGTGTCGCAGCGCATGTCACACCCTGCCGTCATCAGCGGCGCAACTGCGCACGGGCTACGACGGGCGGCGCGCACGTCGCTTGCCTGCAAACACGCCCCGTGCCGCCGCTGCTCACAGCTGCGACATGCCCTGCGCACCTCCGATGGGCACGCTCGCGTCCGTCGTGGCGCCCGCGCCGCCGCTGCCTATGGTGGCGCTGCTGCGGCCGCCAAAGTTCGACACATAGGGCAGCGCCTCAATCACCGCGTCCGCCAGGTCATCGATGAAGGTCGCGTCCGTGTTGAGCGCGGGGACGCGCCGCCAGTGGCGCACGCCGCTCTCCTGCGGGGGCGCGGCGCGCCGAGCCGGGCGCATGCGGGTCGGCGGGCTGGCGCGTGCGGGCGAGCGATCTGGCTGGCATTAAACTGGCTGGCTGCCACTGCAGACTGATGTCCAGGCGCAACATCAATACGAGGCGACTGAAGACCGAGATTCCTCCAAACCCGCCAGCTCCTCGTACATCCCAGACCCCACCAGATCACCCCCCAGCTGTCGGCGCCCGCGGTTCGAATTTGAATTCGGCCCCTCACCTCCGCCAGCTCCCTGTACTCCATGTCGATCTCCTCCAGCGTCTCGATGTGCTCGCTGACGAATGAGATGGGCACCGCCAGCAGCGACTTGCAGCCGCCCTTGCCCAGCTCGCTGTTACATGAGGGACGGAATTTTAGAGGGGGGGGGGACGAGGGAATGAGTGTGGTGGGGGTTTCAAGGTTAGGGGTGCAGTGGGGTGCGAGGGGAAAATGATCGAGAGGGGATATGTGAAGCTGCAGCCGGCGATTGCGGCCCGCGTAGTATGCTGCTGCACAGCAGCCAGCAGAAAGCTCTGCCTTAAGACCGGCCGGCTGCGCCCGGACCGACCCAGCCTCAACTTTCGCTTGCGGTCACCAGAACCGCAGCCAACGCCCCTCCTGCCAATGACAGTGCTGCCATAAAACTTGCCGCCCAGGCACCTTATAACCACTCGGCGTTTCTGAGAACCACACCCAGGAACTCACATGTGCACACAAACACTCAAACACACACACACACACACACACACACACACACACACACACACACACACATGCACAACATTACAAGCACACGTGGGTGCGTACACACGCACACACACAAACTCACGCACACACACACACACACACACAGCACGCTGCCCCTCACCGTATGCTGTCGTCAGTGTAGGGCTTGAGCCACTCTACCGGGCCCACCCTGCTCTGGTACGCCAGCGTGTGCGGGTTGCCCCGCCCCCTCCGCGCCAGCTCCCCCATGATCAGCGCCACACACTCCTCCTGCGGTCAACAACAGCGTCGACACAGCATTCAGTGCCCGTTTGTGGGGGTTGCAGGGACGGGCTGGAGGACTCAGAGCGGGTCTAGGGCGACGGCTGTGGGCGCCACCTAGGCCGCGCAGTGCTTGCCGCCTCGTGGGGACCGCTGCAGCATCATCCGAAAAGAGTCGAATGACGAAGCCGCCGCAGTATGTTTTGGTCGCAGCAACAGAGCATGCACAGCGCGAGCAGTGCCGTACCATCTCCTCTTTGTAGGGGTCCCCCGCCTCAATCACGTACGACTTGGGCACGCCGTGGGCGCTGAAGAATATGCGCGCCTGTGGGTTGAATGGGCACGGGGACGCGGACGGCGTGGCGCGGCTTCAGCGCTCAAGTGATGCATAGGCGCGGCCTGCCGGCGCAGCTGCCATGCGGCTGCATTCCCCACTGCAGCCGCTCCCCCCGCGCCATGAACCGGGCGCCGCCAAGAGAATGGCGCTCGGTCGCCATTGACGCACCCCCTTACTGCGGCAGGAGTGCCAGGGCAAGGAAGCTGCCCAGCCCCCTCTTGGAAGCCCCCAAGAGAAAGACGCGGCCCTGCCCCTAGCGGCGCTGCCACGCACCACAATCGCATGCTCTACAGTGACATGCACCACCCCTGATGGCGCCGCCGCGCGCGCCGCAATCACATGCGCCACAACAGCATGCGCCACAATCACATGCACCACAATGCCATGCACAGCGCACCTCCTCGGGGTCTGGGAACTGGTCCAGCTCCTCCTGGATGAGGTCAGCCATGGCCCGTACGTACCCGGGACGCTGGTACCTGCGGCGTGGTGAGCCACAGCAAGGCTTGAGTGCGCACCGCCGAGCTCACAGAATGCACCTTGTGCACAAGGCCGCAGCGCCCAGCCCGCAAAGGGCGTCGCTGTGGCGTACACTTTGCCCGGGGGGCCGGTTTCCTACTGGGGTTTCCCTGGCAGTTAGGCAGGCGGCGCGCCCGGCAAAGGGGGCTGGGCCACGCACCAAGAGGGGATGACTGTGTGCTGCAGGCTCTCAAAGGCCGGGTCGCCCTTGAACAGCGCCTCAATCAGGCGCAGGCTGCTGCCAGACGTCGAGATCGAGAATTGGGGGTACAGCGGCAGGATGACCTGGCAGACACGGGAGTTGGATTGTGCAAGGGGGATTGAGTGAGCGACATGGGGCAAATCAGCCCCACCGATGCAAATGACGCACCACAGCTCGCAGTGTCAACCCCCAGCGCCTGCACGGACGCCCCAATCGAAGGCGCCGTCGCCGCCACCAGCCGCGCCTTTCCCGCCCCACCCGCCCCAGCTTCTCACCAGCTTCCCGACGCCGTCCTCAACAACCTGCTTCAGGGCCTCCTCCGTGTAGGGGTGCCAGTAGCGCATGGCAACATACACCTGCGTGCATGCCCCAAGAGCGTGCGCATCATTCAAACTACGCAGTGACAAATTCTGTCGACGAGCGGCGTCGCACCGGGACAGCGAGGCGCGCTCCCAACCGCCAGTTCAACGACAACGACAACAACCCGCCAGGCCCGGACCTGGACCCCGCAGCCCGAGCCGCCGCCGCCATGCCAAGGCCCCAGGGCGCACCTCCGCATCCAGTATGCCCTTCTTGCGCAGCGCCTTGCGAATCGCGACCGCCTGGTCGTCAGTAATCTTCCTCAGCGGGCTGCCGCCGCCGATCGCCTCGTAGCCCTCTGCGCTCTTGGGGGCGCGCAGGCTGGCGATGACCGAGGCGAGGACGGGCTGCAGGAAGCGGACGGCGCTGGGCAGGCGGATGATGTCGGGGTCGGCGAAGAGGTTGTATAGGAACGGCTGGACGTCCTCGAGCTTCTCAGGGCCTCCGAGGTTGAGCAGCAGCACACCGACCTGGCGGGGTGGGGGGGGGGGTGGAGGTCGGGGATGGCAGGTGGCGGTGCGGCGGCGTGGGGATGGCGGGTGCGCGCGGAGGAGGGCGTCGCACGGGGGAGGGGGCGCACGGCGTGGGTGGCGCGGCCAGGGGTTTTGCGGGGCGGGCGCGGGCGGCGCACCTTGCCAGACTGCGGCGGCCGCGGCGCGACGTCCAGCTGCCCCGTGCCGCTGTCGCTGCTGCTGACGGGCATCTGCGGCGGGCTGCGGCTCATGCCCGTTGAGAGCGCGCTGCATACGAGCGGGCCGCGGGCGCCGGGGTGGCGCGGCGCGTGGTGCGCGGGCGCCGCTGCGTGGCCTGCAACACTCCAGGGCTCCGGCGCCGCCGCCCTCGTCACACGCCGCCTCCTGCAGAGTTGAATGCGAACAAATTATGAGCTTTTCGGCTTACCAGGCGGTGGCCTGGACCGCGTACAGTCGCTCGAGCAGGGCGCGCCCACCCACCGGGCATGCAGAACTGGCTCGCAGCGCGGGCTGCAGCTGGGCGCCTCGCCATGCCGGGAGCTGGCGTGATTAAAGCCGTTGGCAATGCGGCTGCTGCCCTGAGCTAACATAGCTGCAATGTGTGTGCCCTCACTGCTCTGAGCCACATGCGGCAGGTCTTGGCAGTCAAGCAACACAAGTAGGTTGCTGACGAGAATTTCACAAAAATTATTGGTATTGGTGCGCCAGGCAAGCGCAGGTGGCCGAACGAGGAGGGTAAGGGGTGAAAGCGAGAAGCTGGACACACACCAGGCCGGTGAAATCGTACAAACCACCGGGCTGTCTGCACCAAGCTGTATGGTCACGGTTTGTTGATTGCGTCCTCATGTAAATAGCCTGATTATACCGGGTTTTCAACGCTTGGGGCTGTCACCTGATCTGATCAGCTTGCATCCAGTCTTTCTCTGACACTAAAATCATCTGAGTTGACAGCCAATTGTTCCATCTTGACGTCGGCACCTATCTGGGTACATTCAAGGTCTGCAGCTATGTCCACACGCCACCTCCGCAAGCTGCAGCAGCGGCTGCCAGACGCGCCCGCCGCCAAGGACGGCGGCGGCAGCGATGAGGAGGAGAGCGAGGAGGACTCGCCCCCTGCCAAGGCGCCCTTCAATCCGTTTGATCTGCTCACGGACGAGGAGGTCAGAGCGTCACACGCATCCGCATGCTTGTGCTCATGTGCAAGTCATCCATCAGGGCTGGCTCACTGCCCTGGTGCAGCCTTGCCTAGTGCATCAAATTGTGTAGCACAGCCAGCTCCCATGCCTGTGCAATTGAGTACCAGTAACCGCTGCGTGTGCAGTTGTTGTGTGTATAAGCGATTAATTGGGTGCGTGTGGGGAAGGGTACGAAACAGTGTGTGTAGGGGTTGCCGAAACAGGGATTGTTTTTAATGTGAGGATGTGTGCATGTGTGTGTGTGTGTGTGTGTGTGTGCGCGCACGTGTGTGTATGTGTGTATGTGTTATGTGTGTGTGACTTCAACGCTTACAGCCACGCCTCACCACTGGCTTTGCGGCCAACGGCTCGCGCCGCAGGACGCAGAGGAGGGGCCAAGCTCGGGGGCCTCTGAGGAGGGCAGCGGCGACGAGGCGGCCCAGCAGCAGCAGCAGCAGCAGCAGCAGCAGCAGCAGCAGCAGCAGTTGGCCAAGCAGCAGCAGCAGCCGACATTAACAGGGCCCGCTGCCAACGCCGGCGGCGGCGGCAAGAAGAAAGGCAAGGGCAAGAAGAAGGCCGCTGGGCCCGCGGCCGCCCCGGCCGCGCCGGCGGCGGCGCCGCCGCCCTCAGAGGCGACCGGGCGCGCCC